AGTAGTAGTAGTAGTATTAGTAGTAGTAGTAGTGGTAGTAGTAGTAGTGGTAGTAGTAGTAGTAGTGGTATTGGTAGTGGTAGTGGTAGTGGTAGTAGTCGTCGTCGTAGTAGTAGTCGTCGTAGTAGTCGTCGTCGTCGTAGTTGTCGTCGTCGTAGTAGTCGTCGTCGTCGTAGTAGTCGTCGAAGTAGTAGTCGTCGTAGTAGTAGTAGTAGTCGTCGTCGTCGCTGTAGTAGTAGTCGTCGTAGTAGTGGTAGTAGTAGTAGTAGTAGTGTAGTAGTAGTTAGTAGTATGGGGGAGGGCAGCATGGGACCATGGTCGGCCACTTTTTGTTTGAAACGTATGTGCTCGACCACTATTGAACTGGTCGTCACAATAAAGTGGTACAAACCACATCGACCAAAATATTCTATGACAATGATAATGGCTTCTCTAGGTTAGTAGAATTTAACAGTAGCCGGAACGTATAGCCTATAGCATGCCAAACGTTTACTAGTAATGGATTCCAAGCGTATAGCCTAAAAGTGTTGGCAGTAATCCAGAAGTTCCGAAGTGTTAGTAGTATAGCCGTTTATAATAGCCTAGTCTCCTAGTAGTATACCACTAGGTCACTAGGTAGCCTAGGAGTAGTAGTAGTCCTCCCTCTTCACCATGTGCTGCCGGGTCTCTGGAGCTTGATGATCCAAATTAATGCTTTTACGCAGTGATTTTCAGCCAGCCCGGCTCCCAAAACCGGTGCATGAGCACGGGAATCACGAAGGTTGATCGTTCAATTGTGTTTCAACAGCACTGCAGCAAAGGCACCAAAGGCCTTGCCATGATTTGCTCTTGCATGGCGTCACTAATCACCATGGTGAAATCCAACTTCACCTAGACTCAAAGGAATGTCCAGCGATCTGCTGGCCAGTCCAGAAAAGTTCTTCTGCTTCCAGTGCCGGAGAGGGAAAATGATGGTCTGAACATGTCTGAACTCTCCTTCCTCTTCTCTGCCTCGGGTGCCAAGTTGGTCGTCTGGGGTCCTTGTCATCCACGTCGTTCACGCCCACGTTCCGGAGTCCTCACGGGAGATGACAATCCAGACTTGCTAGCTGCTGCTAGCCTCATCCTTGAGTTCAACCATCTTCTGATTCATCTTCTGGCTCGTGAACTCCATACGCGCTCTGGTCCTGAATTCCCATTCGTGGAACCCGGCCGGATCCCCAGCATAGATGTAGGAGCCACTCTTAGTCAAGTCTCCCGTGGGCCCTCCTTGTCAAAGGATCTGAAACTCAGTCCGGCTAAAGGCATAATTCTAGTCGCGCACAGTCAGTGCAACGCAACTCTACTAAGCCGCTGTGAGAGTTTGGGCTGGGAAACGCTTTCCAGCACCGGCTCCGCTACCAGGTTGAACATCGACGATCCGTTTGTTTTCGTCTGCAACTCCAAGTGGCTCAAGGGCCCTAGTTTGAGCCAGGTCCACGGCCAGTGTCATACCCTGTCTTCTCTACCAGCTTCGAACGAATGGATGAAATCACACCGGTGACCCAACAATCCCAACGGCACCCCCACCACGGTCTCCGCACACCTCCACTGCGCACCGGTCCTCGGGGTCGGTCTCCCAAACGCTCACCTGCATCGCCGTGAAGCTGGCTTCGCTGGGCGCCACGCCGACCTCGGGCGCCCCGGCCAGGTCCTTCCTCGGCGCAGCTCGGGCCACCGGTCGGCGGAGAACGGAGTCCGGACAGGAGTCCAAGGGAAGAAGGAGTCTGGAGCTCTGGTGCAATGGGACGGGTGTCGAATCCACAAATGATCTCCTTTATAGGTGCTGCCTCCGAAATCATGTGGTCTCCGCAAAGTCTCAGATCCAAGTTGCACATAGGCCATGGGCAAGATTGCTCTGAAGTCTGATCGTGTTCTTGCACCGCGCCAGCGGCAGCTGCGACCGCCCAGCCATTGTGGCCAGCCACTGGGCAGTTGTGAGGTGATAGCATCGAAGGCTGCAAACAAGGCATCCGATGTCCTACGCTCGAAAATCCATGAAAAGCACATCGAAATGGACCACTGAGTCTGCATGTCTGTATTCCGGAGACCATCCTTGAGATCCCCTTTTCTTCGTAGCGAACCTTGACGGTTGCGAAGAAGCCAAAGCCAAACACCCTCGGTCCATGCAGGTTCTATCTCGGTCCTTGCAGGGAAGTACACTCCCGAGAAGTACCTCACACGGGTCGTTGCGGCCGGGTCGCGCGGATCGGTGCGCGGATCGCGTGCCGCGTGCCCCGAAAAGCGTGGTCCCCGCTTTTGCGTACTTAAGAGCTGCACGTCCTAAATCGGCCAATCACCGCTGTCTTGATCTCTTCAGTTCGATGATATGGATGCTGGAGAGCATCCGACGTCTGGGGAAATTGAACATGTGCAAGCTCTAGAAGTCGAACCACCATTGTTTTAATAGCCTTTACCGAACCACCATTGTTTTTACTAGGGTTTTAAAGATAGTCTTTGACTTCCAGGGCACGGCTTGAACGTCTCCGAGATGTTCCGCGTCTTGAATCAACTGGTATCGTATCTCACTCATACTCATTCAACAACTCTCCGTCCACTTCCGAGATGCGATTGGTCAACCTCCAGGGTCTCCAAATCCTTAGGAGCATTTCAGGGTGTTCCATCCGCTTGATCTGCGGCGTCGGACAGCACGGCATCCACACGTCCTTCCGGAGACGAGACCGGCCACCGACGGCCAGCGGGTCGCGGCCCAAGGCTCCACGGCGAAGGTGGACGTTTCGCGCGCGAAGCGCTCCACCATGGCCAGGACCTCCTGCTCTTCACCCGAGACTTCGCCCAGCGTCACGTGAGGTTCGAAGCTGGGGGCGTCCAATTTGGAGCTCCTCGGAACGTCAGGTCCAACACGGCGCGCGCGCGGGAACAAACGGGACGCAGTTGAAAGAAAGAGAAATGCACTAAGGGACCAAGAGCGAGGAAAAAGGACAACAAATGGTCAATGTCCATCATCCGAACACCCTAGAAAAGAAGAGAATCAATAGATGTATACTTACTATGCTAAATCCAAACACCGAAAAGATGAACATCGCAAGACAATGACAGGAAAGCAACATTCCTTCGAAACATGTCGCTCAATCTCCAAAAACATCCGTCTGACGCCGTCTGACCTCCCCACCCCTTCTGAACCCCAATCAACAAGTGTTACAACCCACTCACTCCGCTCCAAAGCATCCGCCAGCAAAAATCGCATCAAACATTGATATCCACGCCGAGCTTCAGTTCAGCCATGGCCTTCTTGCACACATCAGCGGTTTTGCCACTGGGAGTTAACCAAATGGAGTACACCTTCGTGGTCTCGTCCGCATCGCCATCCACCACGATGCTATCGATGCAACTGAGCGCACCCTCTTGGACCTGGCGCGTTTGGCAGGGGGGGCAGGGATAGTGAGACCATGTGAACCGATACAAAGGTGGTGGAATCCCAAAATCAACAGGTGTTTGTGGTATTTTGTGGTCATATTCCATCTGCTGCAGGATGGTTGCACATCAAAAATCATCAAACGAAATCAAACGAATGTTGACTGTTGAGATCAATCAAGCCCCCCTACCAGAATGGTCAAACGTCCTCATACGTGTTTCATTATATAACAGCCTGTCTGTCTCTTTCCCCAGAGGGACACTCTGACAGAAGAGCTGCACTAACCTAAGGCTCATGCAGGTCGCACCAAAAAAAGGAGGTGCAAACCGGGAGGAAAGTGTACAAATGCATATGTACAGTGGATAATGATGGTTCAGTTGCAGGCCGACAGTTCAAAAATAGTGATGTTCTTGTTACATCTGTCTATACATGGTTGAACTTCCCCCTGCTTCGTCCAGCCATCGAATGAAGCAACAAACAGTCAGAACCTAGTCGTGGGTCGGGGCTTTTCCGACTCGAAATGAGTCCCCGACCTTCTTCAGCTCTGACTTCAGCTTTTGCCAAAGCTCACTGCAGGATTTCCCCTTCTGGTCCTGCACTGCTGAAAACGAAGCAAGCTTGAGCAAACGCGTAGCAAGCTTTAGGAGCTCTGGACTTGATTCGTGGTATGATTCTGACCACTTCTTGTTCCCTTCACCTGGCCGTAAATGGATTCAGAACAGATGAGCGGTTCCGAACCACGAGTTTTTTCGCAGGCCCGGCTTCCGAACTGAAGCTGAAAAGTAAAAACATGTAAAAACCGTGACCCGCACCTCCCACGCTCGCGTCCTCTGAGGGACGTGTGAGCAAGACGTTGAGCTTCACGAAACCTCGGCCCTCTGAGAGACCCTGAATGGCAAGGCGCGTTTCAGGTACTTGGAGACTCTCGGCCAACGCCTGGCCAAAGAAGTGGAATCGTCACACCGTTTTGGGCGAAGGGACAAACATCCAAGCCACACCGTGGCTTTTGGGGGGACACAGTCGCACAGTCATTGAAACTCTGATCGCAAAACCAATGTCATCACCATCGTCACTCTCTTTTTTTTGCTCATCCTCATTAGGGCTACTGTCATTGCATATTACTAAAGAGCACGTTTGGCAAATCTGGTCATCCCTCTGAACAGGAGCCGCTGCTGCTTTTGGGAGTTTCTACCACGATGCACTCTCAACTTCAACCTCAACATCCATAAAACGCGCTTGAAGAAATTGCAGCTGAATGGATTGAAGAACGCAGTTTCACGGGCCTTCAGCACCTTTATTTGAAATTCATCTTTTTCGGCTTCCTCTCGGCCTACCTGACGAGACGACGAAGCAAGCCACTTCGACGGCTGAACATGCAGCAGCTGTCCACTCTGAATGGCGGTAATAGGGCGTGGTGCCTGTTCCAAGATTTTGCTTCACGGGTTCACCTTCTCAACCTTCGAGCACAAAATATCGATTTACCTTTTCCTTGGCGTGCCTTCTCAACCTTTACGGATACAGTACATTTTGCTGGATAAGATTCCTGGCAAATGAAGTGAGATTGATTTTAAAACGACAACCACCTCCACACGAAGCTTTCACACCGCATCTTCGGTCAAAATCGAGTCACCGTAAGCTTCAGCGTGGCAACGCACGCAGCTGCCCGGGCGATGCGCTTGCTACGCCTTTCCAAGTAGCGGCTGTACTGGACATCGCAAATGTATCCTGCAGATCTCGACGGGAGAGGTTGGGGGGCAAAAACCAAAAACCAAGCCATGGAAGACCGGGAGAGGCGTTCTACCACATAGCCACCAAATCGGTACAGTACAAACTATGCATTGATGCACCTGGGATGGGAGACAGACAGACAGAACCACAACACACACCAGTCACCAGCCAACTCTCTCTCCCTCTCTCTCTCTCTCTCTCTTTCTGATGTTTTTCTCTTGTGTGGACACCACTCAGTCCTAAAGCTGAATAGATAGGAAAAAAGGCCACCAACCTGTTGGAGGCCCGCAGCAAGGGATCGGTTGCGGAGGCTTCTGCCACACTCCTGGCGGTTTCTGAAGTGAGAAGTGAGTGGCTCAGTGAGAGACAAAGTGAGGTGGTTCTCTTCAAGGATTGAAACATATTGAAACCATTGGTTTCTTGAAATATCTTAGAAAATCTTAGAAAACATTTATATAAATTTGGGTGTTTCACATGTGTGGGATTAATTCCACGAATGACATGTTGCAACTAACTAACTAGCTTAAATACCAGTTTCTAGCACAACATCTGATCCGAAAACATCTGATCCGAAACCATCTTCCACGAATGCAACACAAGAAGTCCGAAAACCTTCCGAACTTGGCAAATGAGTGACTGAGATGTGGACCTCCCAACTTCGGGCACACTCCCCTCGAGCTACGCGCATCCGGCATCCGCGCATCCGGCATCCGCGCATCCGGCATGCGCACGATCTCGCCCACCGTTCTCGACGCGCGCGACGACGGCACCGTGCCTGAAGCTTTGAATGCTACGAGCCAGGAGGCCCATCTTTGGAGCCCAGACCCATCCGCGGAACTGACTCTCTCGCAGCCGAAAACAGAGGCGGAATGAACCGGGACGGGCGCAACGGGGCTTCTGGCATCTGACGCCTAAGCCATGCGTGATGAGCGTGATGAGTGGCCTAAGCCGAGCAAATGCCGAGCAAATATCCGCACTTTTGTTCGTTCGGTTCGGATGCATGGTTTGTCCGATTTTGATGTCCAAGTCTTCGACTCCTGGCAGCTTCACATAAGAGTCAGACTGCGACCTGTGCAGTAGCATGAGTGCAAGCACTCAAGTGCATTGGGCAGCAGGCAGAATCGCGCAAACTGAGAACTCAAGCAAAAAAGGAAGAAACTGTTGTGCAGTGAATTCTCCCCTCTGTCAAAATGGAGACTCCAGGCGTATAACGTTGATTTTCACATGATACTACATACCTCTCAAAGATTCTGCCCATCTGGACACTCCTGCGGCGCCCGAGCGCGCCCTTCTCTTGAATTAGATGGGGATGATCTGCCGTCCAGACTCGCCCTGCTCCGGGCGTTTCAGCGCCTGGCGTTTCAGCAGCATCTGGAACTGCTGCCGGACCACTCCTCCGATCCACTGCACCAGGGCCTGGCGCACGTGTTCATTGACCTGCTCGAAGCCGACGGTCTCCTGAAGTTCGGACATGAACTGCTGAGCTAAAGCAGCTAAACAAAGCAAACCGGTGGAAATGCCGAGTCGAGCTTGGTGTTTTTTCGGGCAACTTCAGACCTTCACAGGTCTGTCAACTTCAGACCTTGACAGGTCTGTTCAAACCCTCGCAGTCCTGGATGGCCTTCTTCACTTTGAACTCATCTCTTGGATCAAAGGCTTCCGCATTCGCCGAGTCGACCTTGGAGAGGGACGATGTGACCTCGTTGATGCCCGGCTCGCCTCGATTGATCTCGGCGGTCAAGGACCGTTGCGCCTCCGCAGGCATGACAAAGGTCACGGGCACCTCCAGCGAGCAGGCCACGTACTGCTCGTAGACGGTCCAGACTCTTTGCAAGTAGATCGGCTCGTGCCAGGCATCGAGAATGGCCACCACTTGTCCAATCCGCCGCAGGTTTGAATTGAACACATGGTCCAAGTCATCACTTCCCGAGCTACTTTGGTCTTTCATGATCCGGAACTGGTTGTTCACAAAGAAGCACATGAAGAAAAAGACCCTTTCGGCCTCAATCCTTGTGGAGCTGCTCCAAATCGCCAAAGCGCTTTGGATCTGCTTCAAAGTGTACCTCCAGGTCCAGGACATGAAATGCGTCTGAGGCTGTCGATCGGCTTTGGGCAGTAAGTCTACTAAGGCACAGCCTGGTTCCCCATCACGTGGGCAGGGGACCTGCTCTCCCAAGGGATCAGCACCGAACCAAAATGCAACCTTCAGCTCATGAAAGTCGGGATTTGGCTTCTGTGCCCTCTGCTCTGCCAGGTAAGTGAAATCCGAAAGCAAGTATCGCATGCCGACTCCTGCGATTCTACTGTGCTGGGCTCGGATCTCACCAGCCTTCTGAAGTACTTCCTCGTGTGTCCAGCCAAGCTCATGCAGTTGCGCTGCATAGGTCTCAACCGTGGTCACCGCCTCCATTTCCCAGAGTTCCCAATCTAGCATCTGCACCAGCTTCTCCGCTTGCTCTACTCGTGCAAGGATCCTCTTTCGTCCAGATTTCAGGACTGCCCTGGACACAAAGAACAAGACGCCCAAGCAAACCAACAAGAAGAGCAAAATGACAACCAAGGGCCACGGGGCACAATTGTCGCCAAAAAGCATTCTGGGGAATTCACATGGTTTGCACGCATCCATGTCTGCCGTCGCAAAGTGCCCTGGTGGGCAGTCCCTGCAATCACTCTGGGCCGCGTTGGGTTCCAACCCTTCGCTGCAGCGTTCACATTTCGAGCCTCTCGAGATGAAACCAGGCTGACAAGGTCTACATGAGCTCCAGCTCATTGGTTCCGCCCCTGCGGGGCATGAGATGCACTGGAGTTCTGGCGCTACCCTCAAGTTCTTCACTCGGCCATCTCGGCAGCGGCAGCAGGATGCTGCTGTGACGGCTGGGCCCTCCATACCCATCAGGACACCCTCAGCTGGGCAGGTGAAGAACTCGCAGCGAGGCTTCAGGAAGGCTCGCATAGTGCCTGGCAGAAAGTGCGGTCTGGAAATGCAAGGCGGATTTGGCCAAGCAGCATGCTGCAGCACACTGAAAGAAACAAACAAAGCCAAGTTTTTTGACCCGCCACTCACTCTTGCGAACACGAATCATCAAGGGAATGCAAGCGGCATCAAAACATGAAATTCCCCCAAGTGCATTTCACCGCCTCAGATTGAAAACATCCCTTGGCCATGAATCCCACCGCCTTCCCCACGTTTCTCTGGCAGCCCTTTCCCGATGTAGAGGGCGCATCGCCCCTTCTCCAAGACAAAGGCTGAGCAGTTCGCAGACCCTTCACAGACTTCAGCGCAGCCGCGGTACGTCCGAGCCACGTCAACCAGCTCCACCTCCTGCCGCTGCTGTGGTGCCCATTGGCCTTGGGCAAGCTCGATGAAGTTCGAGTTCACTGGGTGGCACTCCCCATCCACGCAAGCTTGCTTGGAATCAGGGCATCGGCGAGCTTCACAACTGGAACAGGTGGAAAAGCCCCAGTAGCGTTTCAACCTCCCTGGCAAACTTGTTGCTTGGGACAAGGATCGTAGATTGCACCGAGAAATGTGGTTGGCTGTGAGCATGCCCTCCATCATGCTGGCATTCACCGATGAAAAGTCCCAAGTGCCAAGAGGTTGATCAAAAGCTGTTGCACCGGAGAACATGTAGCTCATGTCTACCACGGCCGATGTATTCCAACAGCCCAATGGCTGGTCGAAACCTGTCGCATGAATGAACATGTAGCTCGTATTCTTCACGGAACTCATGTCCCAGGGGTTCAAGGGCTGGTTGAACGAAGGCGTTCGAGCAAACATGACGCTCATGTCCACAACGGCCGAAGTATCCCACTTGCCCAGTGGATGATTGAAGCTTGCTGCGTCCTCAAACATGTCCCGCATGGTCACTACCGATGAAGTGTTCCAGTCTTCCAAGGGCTGATTGAAGCTCCTGGCTTTGTTGAACATGCCCCGCATCGTAGTCACCTTGGAGGTGTCCCAACAGCCCACGGCCTCACCATGTGTGACACATGCGTGTGGTCTCAGTGTGAAACATGTGGTTGTGGGTCATGGCACCGGGGGCCGCTGCTTGACGACCGAAAATGAACAGAATAGACCACCTGGGAGGTTTTTTTTATCAAGGCTTGGGGATCCGCCTGCCATGACCCACAGCCACATGTGTGGTCGGACCGTGCGTGGAAGTCTCGTGCACTGGGTCAAGGACAGGGCACTGGCAGTCCCCCACAATAGCGTGGGCGTTGGGCCTGTCCTATTACCTGTAACAGTGGATGATGATGATTCAGTTGCAGGCCTTGTTCAAGAATAGTGATGTTCTTGTTTACTGACTGTTACAGGTATGTTCGGACAAACCCAAAGCGTGGGTTTGATCGGGAGAACTCTTGACCATTGCCCAAGTTCCAGCCAAAATCCTCATCCAGTCCGAGGCTCTAAGAAAACTCTCCAACTCACATGCTGAGAGCATTTCCACAAACAGTTTACTGTTGGGGTTCTATCTTAGAAAAAAACTGGCCACACTCACTGGCCGCGCCCCTGAACTCTGTGGCTGGGCTCTGTGGCTCCTCTTGTCCTCTGTGGCTGGGCTCTGTGTCCAGGCCTTGTCCTCCTCTTGGCCGCGCCCCTGAACTCTGTGGCTGGGCTCTGTGTCGGCCTTGTGGCTGGGCTCTGTGGCTGGGCCTTGTCCTCATCTTGTCCTTGTCTTGGCCGCGCCCCCTGAACTCTGTGGCTGGGCTCTGTGGCCCGGCTCTGTGTCCGGGTCTTCCTCCTCTTGTCCTTGTCTTGGCAGCGCCCCTGAACTCTGTGGCTGGTCTCTGTGGTCCGGCTTACTGGAGAGGAGTGTGGCCAAACAAATAGCGATGTCAATGCCGACAAAAAATCATTGATGAAAACAGATGAAACAGTTTGCTCTTGGGGTGAAGATAGGGCATACCAAGATATCGAGTTTTCCCCAAACACTTTACTGTTAGGGGTTCTCAATTTTTCTTAAGAGTGTCACTGCTGGTGTCCGCCCTTCTCCGCTGCCCATGTAGCATTTCTGTCCATTTGTCTCCCAGGTCTGTCACTGCTGGCGT